ATGTCATAATTAAATGTATCTTCTATATTAAAAAAATCCTTTTGCATATATTTAATCTTTCGTTTAAACAAGGAATCTTTCCAAAAAAAACTTAAAATTGCAAGGGTAATACCAGTTTTTAAATCTGGAGATAATACTAATATTTCTAATTATAGACCTATTTCCATTCTTCCTTGCTTCTCAAAAATACTAGAACGCATTATGTATAACAAATTATATTCATATTTAGAAAAAAATAATATTCTATATAACAAACAATTTGGCTTCAAAACAGGACACTCTACTGATCATGCAATTCTTCATCTTGTTCAGATTATTTTTCAAGCTTTTGATAAAAACAAGTTCACTTTAGGTGTTTTCATAGATCTAAGTAAGGCGTTCGACACAGTTGATCATAGTATTTTAATTAAAAAGTTAGAGAACTACGGTATCAAAAATATTAACATAGCTTGGTTTAAAAGCTACTTATCTAATAGAAAACAGTATATTTCATTCGGCAATAAAAAAACTAACAATATGACAATTACTTGCGGCGTTCCTCAAGGATCTATATTAGGACCACTCTTATTTTTAATTTATATTAATGATTTAAGCAAAGCCTCTAATATTCTAGATTCTATCTTATTTGCTGATGACACAAATTTATTTTATTCTCATAGTGATATAACAGCATTATTTAAAACGGTCAACATTGAACTCCTAAAACTAACCGAATGGTTAAATATGAACAAACTTTCAATTAATTTAACTAAAACTAAATATACTATTTTTCATCGCCTCCATAAAAAAGAAAAAATTCCTCTTGAACTTCCAAAACTTATTATTGGAGATTACATCGTAAAAAGAGAATGTTCGATGAAATTTTTAGGTGTAATTCTAGATGAAAACATAAATTGGAAAGACCACATAAACATGATTGAAAATAAAATTTCTAAAAATATTGGATTACTCTATAAAGCAAAACCATTCTTAGATCAATCCTGCTTGAAATACATATATTACTCATTTATACATTCTTATCTTAATTATGCAAACATTGCTTGGTGTAGCACCAATAAAACAAAGATAAAAAAGCTATTTAGCAAACAAAAACATGCAATTAGATTATTATCAAATGCACACCGCCTCTCACATTCAAGACCATTGTTTAACAATCTAAAAATACTAAATGTGTACCAAATAAATATATATCATCTTCTGATTTTTATGTATAAAATTAATAACAATTCAATACCAAATATCTTCAAACCATTATTTAATAAAATTCAACACAAATACGTAACTAAATATTCTAACAACAACTTTGTTCAACCCAAAACTATATACGACTCCACCAAGTTTTCAATAACTGTTAGAGGACCTAATGCATGGAATAAGATAATCAGTAATGATATTAAAACACTTAAAACTCTTGATCAGTTTAAACAAAAACTAAAACTATTACTTTTAAATAATGAACAAACAGATAATTATTTTTAAATCTATCTATAAAAATATTATATTTTAAAACTATCTACTAATGCATACTTTATTTGTCTGGAAGGTCTAAATTCTTTAATTTTATATAGGTATTACAGTCTGTTATATTATAAAAAAAGTACTTATAAAGATTTTAGCATTTTTAGATTTCATTAGTTTAAATAAATTTATTAGTTTTCTTAAATAAGAGAGTGAGAGGAAAAATAAAAAAAGTAATCTTTTTTGAGTTTTAATTTTTTATATTAATATTTTGTAATTTGTTTTTGAGGAATTAATATATTACACTTTATAAGAACAGATTGTAAATTAAATTTTACGTTTACTTTTTTCATGTTTTTTAGTTTTTTGATATTTTTGTTTTTCTGAATGAACTTTTAAATTTTTCTTTCAAAAAATAAAATCGAAAAAATATCTTTCAAAACTTTGAACTATTAAACTATTTGGCATTTTATATAAACTTCTTTGTAATATTTTGCTTTTTTCTTAATTTCTTAATTTTTTAATTTTCATTTTAGTTACCATGTATTTATATAAATGTCTAGACAAACAAGGGACTTGGTGATAAGACAACCCCGTCTTCTTCTCGTCCTTGCCATTTTTAAATATTTTAAATTACGGAACTTGTAAATATTTGTACGGCTAAATTATAAAAAAAAAAAAAAAAAAAAAAAAAAAAAAAAAAAACACTTATAAATTCTTAAATGGTTTTTTTGAAATTAACTTTACTATTGCCTATTAAATTGATTAAATTGATTTAATTTAGGATTGTTAAATAATTCATTTAATCTAAAATTCGATTTAATTACTACTAACATGTTAGTTAGTTACTGTTTCATTTTTTGTTTATCTATTTTTTTATTCCTATATAGAAAGTGATCGTCATTTACCAAGATTTATATCTTATTTATCTTTATTTACTTTTTTTATGATAATGTTAATATCAAGTTCAAACTTAATTCAACTTTTAATAGAATGAGAGGGAGTAGGATTATAACCATTTTATATTAATTTTTATTAATTTTTGATATACCATAATACATAAATTGGCAATAAAAGCAATGGTTATAAACAAATTGGGAGACATTGGGTTATTGGTTAGAATAATGTATTTATGAATTTTTACTGGTCTTTTGAATTCAATGATATATTTATAATCTCCATTACTAATGATTTTTCTATTCTTTAAACTCCATTATTTTTCATTTTAATTGGTGTAATAGGAAAATCTGCTCAATTAAGCTTTTACATGTTGTTACCTGACGCAATTGAAGGACCTACCCCAGTTTCAGCTTTAATTCATGCAGCTACAATGGTCACAGTTGGAGCATTTTTAAATATTAGAATGTCACCTATATTTGAACTTTTATCTACTATATTAATTTTAATAATTATTATAGGAATTTTAACTTCTTTTTTCTCAGCAACCGTTGGAATGGTTCAAAATGATTTAAAAAAAGTAATAGCACATTCTACTTGTAGTCAATTAGATTATATGATTATGATTTGTGGATTTTTTTTTATGATTCAAGTTTATTTTATTTAATAAACCATGGATTTTTTAAGGCATTATTACTTCTTAGTGCAAAAAGAAAAAAGACATGAGAAAATATGGTGCTTTAAAAACCTTTTTACCTTTAATATTTATTTCTATAATTATAGGATCTATAGCATTATTAGGGTTACCATTTTTATCAGGATTTTATTCTAAAGATTTAATTGTTGAAGCAGCATTATATAGCTACTTAATACATTATACAGCTAAATAAAAAATTGAAAACATCTAACAAAGAAATAAAAATTGTTTACTTTGTTACCTTCATCCATCAGATTATAGAGAGATTTTAAGCTGTGAAGCAGCAATGTAGATTATTTTCCTTCATTTGGTCTACGCCTAACATCAATTCGGACTCAACAAACAGTCAGGAAGGTTAAAAGATCTTGTACTTCTGTATTCAAATGATCTTACTGACAAGACAAGTTTGTTGATGAGTTCCACCTTTTTGTCTGTTCGACGCCATCTAATTACAAATGATCAACCCTTGGATCTTCTGACAGCATTTATGTGAAGGGATTTGAAGGAAATTTCCCCCAGATATGAATCTGTTTTCGTATCTGATATGTATCTGTCTTTCTTACTTTGCCAAATATGCATCTGTCTTTCTTACTTTATCAGTATCTGTGGCTGAAGGCGAGAGATCTTTTAGCAAGTTAGCTCTCTTTAAGAACTCCTTAAGATCTACCATGGGACAGGATTGTCATAACGACTGTCTTATCCTTTTAATCGATACAGATCTTGAGAAGAATGTTAATTAAAAAAACTCGTAAAGTCTTTATATAACGGCATAAAAACTTGATACCAAATCCAGAAAAGTTTTTTTTTCTTTGTTGTGTTTAATTGTTTGATTTATGAACTGTCTTAAATACAGAATTTTAAAAATATTTTGTGAATACTAGAAATAATAGTTTGTTTTTCTTATTATATTTATTTTGCTGGTTAGGGGAAAGCATATTTTTTGATAGTATACCCTGGACATTATGAAGTCTCTGTGTGCCCCTGCTTGCAGCCGATCTTCAATCATTGTCACAACGTCGTAATGCTGCTTTTTATTCTCTTTTTTATAAATACTATAATGGGCGCTGCTCTAAAGAGCTAGCATCTCTCGTGCCAACTACTAAAATTCAATTTCGTGTTACTCGTCATTCAATTAAGTGTAATCCTTTACTGTATACTTTAATTAAGTGTAATTTTTTTACTGTGATTGTTTTTCAGTGCTCCAAAAATTCTTATTATTCGAGTTTTTTTTTCCTCGAACATCAGCTTTTTGGGATACACATAGATCATCCAGGTATTTTAAAAATTCGGAAAATTGTTTTGGTAAAATATTCCTTCTTAATTTTGCTTATAACTGAGTTGTTTCCAGTTTTTTTTCAAACTTTTCTTAATTTTGTTTAATTTAACCGGAAATATCCAGAAAAAGGCACTGGATACGAAAAGATGATTGTCTTGAACAATGCAGGTGTTCACATGTTTTTGGACTACGATCAAATTAAAAGCATTTTGTAAGTACAAACTGCTATAACACTCAGTACATTCATTCCATGATCCTTTTACTATGACCTGTATAGAAATTTGACACAATTCCGTTGTGTAAAGCATTTTCGCCAAAAGAGCTTTAGCAGCTCTTAAAAATTATTTTAAAAAACTAACGGTTAATCATTACATAGATAGTAAAAGAAATATTAGAAGAACATAATTGTGTTGAAAATTAGGGAGACTATATTGAATAAAAAAATGATAACTGTAAAAAATACATTTTTTCATTTTTGCTTTCAGAACTTTCAATTAAACTGTAGTAAATTTATTTTTGGAAAAATTGTCGCTTTACTACTAGAAATATGTACAGAAAAAAAAAAGGAAAATAAACGGAGGGAGAGACTGTAATGCTACGTTATATATCCCAAAATATGATGTCGTATTATATTTTGCTAAGATTGATTTTTGAAAAATCGAATAATAATTATTTAATTCTAAAAACTTTTCTATTTTATCAATTTAACATTTTCTTTAGCTATCTTTACTTTTGGATATGTTTTTAATTTTTTATCAAACATCGATCGACATTCTTCTATAGTAGTGGCTTTGTGATCACAACCATGTTCTAGATACGCACACAATACCTAGTATATTTAAATTAAAAAAAATACAATTTTTGAATTTGATAATATTAAATTTTTTAATACAACACTAAACACACAGCTTTGAATGCGTAAATAAGAAAAATGTCTAGAAAAATATTTTTTCTAGACTGTTTGGTAAGAAGAGGCCACAAGACACTGAAGTAAACGCTATTTGAACGCTCTGAATAGCACACTTGAATAAGACAATATGAACACGAGAAAAAAATGTTATAACTTACATGTTATTGTTTTAAATTACCACACTCTTTTTTTTTTCTATTAAATAAACGCTTTAGCTTACACGTTATTGTTTCGAGTTGAAACTTTATTATTTCTTTAATGTTATAATTTATTTTTTTATGATTTAAATTTAAAAAATAATAATAATACTAGCAATTATATAAATACATTTTAATTATAAGTTTAAAATATAAGTTAAAAATAAGTTTGAAGCACAATCCATGAAAATCATTGAAATTTATTTTGTCCAAAAGTTTAACATTAACTTTACTCTGTTGAAAAACAATTTGAAAAGATTTCGCATTTTTGAATTGCTCATGGTCTATGACAGACATCTCAAATTAAGCCAGTAATGAGTGAAAATAAACAAATAAATATAAAAACAATAACAAAAAACTTAAAAAAAAAAAAACACCTTTTTTCGAAGTTTCTTGATAGACAATTCATTATTATTAGATTCTTTTAAAACTTGTTTTATAGCTTTGTGCCAATGAAATTTTCCTAAAATAAAAAAATCAAATCAAAAACAGAATATATAATAAAATATTAAATTAATGTAAATAAAATTTTGGCAATCCTTTAGCTAAGCAGCGTAAAATTATTTATTAGCTTTTTTATGCTTGCACGAATACGTCTGAATATTTTTTAATAAATCTGACTGAGATGACGCGCTCTTTTACAAATAATAAAAAAAAACGTTTATTTGAGGGTCTGGGTTGAGGTTTAGGGTCAATCATCAAGTTAGAACAACTGAAGCCTAAATTAAAATTTCAAGTTAAAAAAAAAAATTTTTCTTTTTTTTTAAATTATTAGAAATAATGTATAGCTTTCAAAAATTTTTGCTAACGCACATCCTTCATTTATAGATTGTATTAGCCAAACCTGAAATGAAGCCCTTCAAAAGGTTATTTCAGTATTACTCTAACAAGACGTTTTTACATATGAAAAATATCTAAAATATATTTATTAAATCTTTTTCTTATGTAGATACTGACTGCTTAAACTTTTGTCAATGTGCAGAAGAAAAAAAAATGAAACTTTTCATCTTAATTGACAAACCCATTTTAAAAATGTGGTAGCAAATAATATTTTTTATCAAACCTGTCTTTTTTTCCAATTTTTCAGTATTTTCATCAGACAAAGTTTCTAAATACAAAAAAGTTACTACATTAACTAAAATTATTTTTTTAGCTTTACACCGCTACAAAAAAAAACATACATAAATATTTTAATTTTTTCAAAAATAAAAATAAAAACATTTTATCAATAAAAAATCTGATAATTAATTATTGATAAATAAATAATTTCATAGCAAAGTTCTATCTAACCTGTCTGCTGTGGAATAATCTTTGCAGTTTCGTCGATAATTTCTAAACATAAATACAGAAGAATGATGCAAAAAATATATACAGGTAGACAGGCCCCAAAAACTCATGGACCCCAAAAGCCACACACTCACAATAGTACCTGTAACTCATAGATTGTCTTATCAAGGAGCAAAATAGATTTTTTTTATTTGAAAAGATAGTTTTTTGATAGGAAACTGTTAAAAATAACCAATTTAGCATAATTTTTTAATTATATGAATTAAAAATTATATGAAAAATTATATGAAAAACACTAAAATATTTTAATTAAAAATTTTATAACTTTTTGGCATTATAGTCCATAAATACTATTTCATTTAAATTTGCAAAGTAAGGGTTTTTTTTAAAGATCTAGGTCATACTTCTGCAAAAAAATAAACTTTTTTTTTTTTAAATAGTTGTTAAAATATATTAAGTTAACAAATGTAGGATTTCTGTGTGGTTTTTGAGTTCCATTAACAAAAATATATATACATTAAAAACTCCATATTAAAAAAGAGTTTTTATTTTTTCTATTAAAACTTATTTTTCTATTAACAACCAAGTAAAGATAGTTGTTTGTAAAAAAAATTTAAATAGCTTTATTTATCTTTAAGACAGTTTAAAAATATTTTTATACATCTTTGAAACTATTGACTCTTAAGTAAGTTAATCAACTAATTGACTAAGCATAATGGATAATTAAAAAGCATAATCTGTAATATGGCCATAAGAACTATAAGGTCACTTTCTTTTTTCTGTATCCTTCTAACTGCTAGTATCTTCATCACTTTCATGCTCAATAACCTTACGTTTGAGGGAATTGTTAGTTACTGCAGCAGCTAAAAACATTAGTAACTTTCCATCCACTTTACATGATAACTTTCCGTAAAATGACTTTTATGGCATGACACACACTTTCTCCACATGTGCATTCATTTTTAAACTGTAAAAATGTTTCTCTTTGTTTCTCTTTGTTCCCTTTTCTTTTTTCTTTATGTTTTAGTTCTTGATTTTTATTAACTTGAATTACCTTCACCAACTCTAGCACATTTTCTCCTTTCATTGATCCGTGAATCTGCGTAACCCTTGTAGTAACTTTAGAAATTTTTGGCTTTCTGCACTGTCAGTAAGGCCAGGGATTTCTTCAAATTGAATTCTTTATTCGCTCAGCTCTTGAATAAGCTCTTGTGAAATTTTTCTTTCCAATACTCAGCTGAATTTTTTCTTCTATCAGAAAATTCAAGGATGTATCTTTTAGGGGTTGTTATACTGGGTGAAACACATTTAGAAATATAAATACATAAAGCAGCTCATGCAAACTTGTCCTGTTGCATGTTATTGACATTTAATGATGTAGAAGTTACTCCCACATGTCTCACATGCAGCTTTGATTATAGATTGTTTTGGGGCCCATTTGTTCCAAATACGTCCTAAGATCATCATAAAAGCTTCTTTATTTAGTGAGTTAAAATCAGTAAAAATGTTTTTTTTCATACCACGATACTCATTGACATCTCTTCTGTCTCCAAGAGAATTTTCTAGTACTGTCTTTCAAGACCATTGACTATTTTACCATCAAGTCTACGGTTTATTGTTTCACGATCTTTAATAAGTGGGAAATGTCTTGTTTTAAGTGCAGCATGTCCTCTAACATTTTTTTTTTTTACACCATTGAGCAGCAACTTCAAGTTGTTTGTTTTTTTCTAATGTTGCTTTTCTCTTTATAAAAACTTCAGCATTAGAACTTGGATTTAGTGACTTCATTTGCAAGCATATTTTGAATTTTTTATTGATGTTACTCATACTTATTTATTTGCCTAAAAATAAAATTTTATTAAAAATTCACTGAACTGAATCAAATCTGTCCTCTATGCAAGAATATAAAATAAAATCTTTTTTATCATCAAAAAGCTTGTTACAACTACTACAAATCTGACTCTTAGTTTTTTGTAATATCCGTAGATTTTTTTAAAAACCAAAATAACTTATGTGGTTTTTGGGGTTCCAACCATGTGGTTTTTGTTGCGCCTTAGATACTTCCCTAAAATATAAGTTTGCAATCAAAATATTATATGAAGTGAAATTTAATATAACAAGTATATCTAAAATATGGGAAATTTACAACTATTTTAAAAAAAGTTATAAACAATTTAAGCCATGTGGTTTTTGAGGTCCAATACTAAAATATAGAGAAACTTTACTGAAAAAAATAAATAAATAAATAAAACTACTAAAATACTTCTAAACCTCTGGGAAGAACTTTTACCATATAAACGCATATAAAAAACCAAAAAAAACTTAAATTATTTGTTTTGTACTAAAGATATGACAAAAGAAAAAATCATGTGGTTCTTGGGGCCCATCTACCTGTATATCTGAATAAAATAAGCAAAAAAAAAAAAAAAAATCTTTACATTTAAATAAAAAGAAGAAAAAAAAACATTAAAAAAAATATAATTTTGATCTGTCTACCTTTTGAAACTTTTTTCTGTTTCTTTTCTTTCTTATTTTTTTTGGCATTTGATTTAGAATTTTTGTCAGTATTTTCATCAATATTATAGACTTTTTTCTTCTTTCCTTTTTGTTCTCCGCCATTTTCATTTATTTCAACATCATTTTCATGAGCTCTTTTTCTCTTTCTGACTTTGTCTCTGTTTTTCTCCTCTGATATTGTCTCTGTTTTTTTATCCACTGATATCTCTTTTTTTTTATCTTTCAGAACAGAAGCTAAATTTTTATCTGGATCAGCCTGGACATGATGATTTTCTTGAAGTGTTTTCTAAATAACGTTTGGCATTACAAAAATAAATATAAAAATTGTTACATCTTTACTTTGTCTTTACGATTTAAAACTGAAAAGACTAAAAATATCTAAAAAAATAATCATAATAAATTAGATCCAATTAAAAAAATAGAAACAATTTTAAATATTGAATTTTTTCAACTATGAATTAAAAAAAACAAAACAAGATAAGAGGACTATGAGGAGTTATCTTCTCCTTCAAAGCATTTTTAATACTAGTTTGTGCAAAGTACTTTAACAGAATTAAAGAAAAACATTTTCTAAATAATCTGCTCGCAAAATTTGTATTATTAATTTATAATAAATTTGTATTAATAATAAGAATATATTGTCATTACAAATATTGTGAATCATGTGTTTTCAACTTCAAATCTTTTTTTTTTAAAATAATTTTTAATAACTAATTATATATTAATGCATACAACAACTTTCCGTTGTTTAATAGAAATGATAAAAAATTATTATTTTTTATTGCTCAATAAGCAGCTTAATTCATATTTTGAAAAAAATATGAATTAAGTTTGTAAAAAAATAAAAATCATTTATTTTATAAACTTTATCTACCTTAAAAATACAATTACAAAAAAAAAATTATAAAAGAAAAAGGCCAACCGAAGCTTTATTAAAACAAATAGTTTTAATTATGTTATTATTTTTATAACAACCAGAGATCATCAGAGGTCATATTGAAAAAGTCCAGAAAATATTTTTCAAAAAAAAAATTTAGAATAAATCCAGAAATTTTTCCCCTCATTTGTCTTAATTTAAACTAATGGCTTTCTCAAACTTTAAATTAATGGCTTTCTTATTTTCTAGAAAATTTCATTCTTTAAAAACATCAAAAATAAATATATTGCAAAAAAATTTATTTAAACATGTGTTAACGGAAGACTTTTTTGAAAAAATTAAAACTAAAAGGAATTTCTGAAATTTTGGATATATTTGGAATAAAATAATCCCTGATAACAACATAACCAACAAAATAAAGACTTACCGACTCTTTCACAGTAGCTCCACTAAAAGCGTCCCACAACTGTGATAATGTTAACTCATCATATATTCGTAAACTATTCTTGCAGAAGTTCTAAATGAATTCAAAACGTGTTTGGAGCACCATTTTTTTAAACACTAAATGAAATAGAGACTTTTATTAAAAGAACTAAACAATTTTTGCCAGCCATATAAAGACTAAAATAAATAATTGCACCAGCATATTTATATATACATTTATTAAATGATGAAAAATTAATTTAACTAAGTTATACCACTTAGCAAATTTTTCAAACTTTTAGCTCATAGATTAGTTACTTTTTTGAAATTTAAAATATTAAACACCATCATTATACACTATCATTAAATACCATCATTAAATACCGTTTTCTTTGCATTTAAAAATATATATAAAACTTTTTGAAAACAACATTTTAAAAATGGACTTAAAAGTAAAAAATAAACCATTTCATGGGACCCAAGAATTTTGTCTACATACACAATGTGAAATATCCATTAAAGTCAATGACTGAAAATGTTGGGTAACTAAGTACAACTTGTTCTGATTGGCGCCCAACATTTCCAGTCATTGACTTTAATTGATATTTGAGGATGTACGTACAAAAAGTTTTTGGGTCCCATTAAATAGTTTATTTTTTACTTTTCAGTCCATTTTTAAAATGTTGTTTTTAAAAAAGTTTTTTTTTTTTAATATATTTTTTATTACTTATTTTTTAGTCTGCTAAGAAAGTTTATTTTTGCTAAACTGAAACGCTAAAAGTTTGTAGTTTTATAGTTTGTTTTAATTACTTTTCTTAACAATTTTTTTTATTTACACCAAACCAAAGTATATTTTGCGTTGTTCATTTTTTAATGATCTCTTTAATCATTACTGCTGACCTCATGTTTGTTTTGCGTGAACACCAAAAAAAAAAATAGATATATAAAAACCGACAAGAAAGTAAGTTAAATAAAATGTAATAAAAACTGTTCATAAAATTATGGTAATTAAATGAGCAAGCTAAATATTACACAGCAAAGTAAACATTGACAATATTTTCATTTTACTGGGTGATTTTGCAGAGAATTACAGTCTTGTATTCCAGGATGAGGTTCTTAGTTTTTATTGGAACAATTTCAATTCTTATTACATATAGTTTTATTATATTTTTAGATTAACAATTTATGTCATTTTGTGTTATCTTTGATGACATATAATGTTGATGATACATGAAGTATGACTAACTTGTCAGATGGAAAGAAACATGAAAGTTTTTCAGATGGTTCTGCTGGTCATTCAAAACAAATAAAAAATAAAAACTTAAAACCATTGCATGTATCAAAATAATTAAAAAAACACAATGGAATTTTTTCATAACCAACTCAAATCTTTATGCAATAATATCGGAATATCCGAACTTGATTTTTGAGCTAGATAAAAAAAAAAGATTAGTTGATTGAAGCTAAAAGTGTGAAAAACAAACAACTGTATATTTAAATTATATACCATACAAACTTTATTATTTTTTCATCACTTAATAAAGAACAACGTAGTTTGTAAAATGTCTGAACAAGAATTATAAAAGAAAAGTATTTTTTTAAAGAAGTTAATTGATTGTGCAATATCTAATGAATGTTCAAAAATTACCAAACAGGTTTATAAAAGGTTTTTAATAAAAAAAATTATTCAAATTATTTAAATTTTTAATTTGTTAAAATGTGTAATACTCAATATCTTACATAAAAGATAGGACTTAAACTGAGTGAACATTTTACAATTATTATTAGATTTTTTCTTTCAATTTATTACATAAAAAGATTACCTACCTTGCATTTTCCACTAGCTTAATTATATTACTTTTTTAAATAAGCAACAAGAAATAAAAAGAAATTCTGACTACTGTTAATGACAACTTTTTGAAGCAATTTAGTAAATTGCAATAGATAAAAAGTTGATGCCCGTAAATAAATGATATCATAAGTTAATACCCATAAATAAATGATATCATAAGTTGATGCCCGTAAATAAATGATACCATAAGTTAATTACTGAAAATAAATGATATCATAAGTTGATGCCCGTAAATATATGATATCATAAGTTGATGTCTGTAAATATAATAAGCAAATAACTAATTTAATAATATCATAAACCACATAATGTTTATTGCATTACATATTTTTTACTCATAATAAGATCTAAAATTCCCCATCAAAAATGATTTTAAACTCATAACTTCATTACAATTGAATAACTGTATCAACATATTTAATGATTTTAAGAGTTTCAGTTACAGTGTAAATCATGGCATTTAATAGTGGATTATCTTGCGAACTCCTTTAAACTGTTTTCTAAAATTCTTCAAGATAATGAACTTATCTTTTATCTGTGCAAAATTTAAACAAAATATTTATGGATAAACTGATTCGAAAAGAAATGATTGACAATGATGACAAGACATAAAAAAAAAAATACATGGATAATTGACTTGACAAGAAATTACTTAAAGTTACTAAATACAGAAATATTGACTAATAACTTCTAATAAATTAATTATACATCAAAGCATTTCTTATTAAAATTCTCAAAAAACAAAACAAAAAATTAAAACAACTACAACATTATTAAAACAAGTCAAAGTCATTTTTATTTTATTTTATTACATTAATAACAATAACATTGTTATTAACAAATATCCAAATCAAAAACAACTTAAAACCAAAAATCAAGTTAAAAACAAACCTGAAACTTTTTTTCTTTTCGTGGAACATTGGAGTACTCTGACACTCTTTGTAAAAGAGACTTTAATTTTGGGTTAACAACTGATTCGGTAGCAATTTGAACTTGCTAATGAACCAAAATTGTAAAGTACAAAATAACAGAACTAATATTTAAGTTTTTATAATTGTAAATAACATTTACATTTACATTAAATAAATTACATTAAATAAATTACATTAACATTAAATAAATTTACTTTAAAAAACACTCAAACCTTAATCCATTCTTTTTGTTTATTTTCTCCTTTATTTTCTTTGTTGCTAGCTTGATACAAATGACCTTGATACTTTTCTGCTTCAGATATACAACTATTATGGGTTGCATAGCTGTCACCATGGAAATCAACACCACAATCAATACAAGAAAGAACAGAGCAATTACGACATTGAGTTTGATAATGCTTTTCAACCTGATTTTTTTTCACAGTATTCCCACAAGAATTGCATACAAATGAAACCATTGCAAAAAAAATTTATAACTGTAATCTAGCAATATATATATATATATATATATATATATATATATATATATATATATATATATATATATATATATATATATATATATATATATATATATATTACTGGTATATATTTTATCTTAAATATATGGAATATGCTTATTAAAAATGTATCAGTTGAACATAGGGTTATTTTTAATTTAATAATAAACTGCGGTTGTTTATTTATAAATTTATTTTTACTTAAAAATCTATATTAAAATAAATATTATAATTATAAAAAAAACATAATAGACTAATATGCATTGTTTTTATAGTTAAGTCAATTAAAAAAAAAGTAATAAATAACTATTTTTGAAAATGTGATGTTGTGCTGTGATGACAAAGGTCATGATGATAATGATGACCCTTAAAAATTTTATCAAAAAACTATAATCCTAAAAGAATTGGACCTAAACAGTACCTAGTTTAAAAAAAAAAATTAGATGATTTTCAAAATTTTCTTTTGTTGATTATTGTTATAAACATTTATGTTTATAACAATAATCAACAAAAGAAAATTTTATCATTTATGTTTATAACAATAAAAAGATGGAGGTTAGTGTCTTATATCAGAAGATATGTTTAAAGATTAAACAATTAAGAAAATGAAGTCTTAAAATGAAAGACCAAATGAAAGAAGAAGCAACATAATATACAAAACAAAAAAAATTGTTGGCAAAAAGAGCGTTAGTGAAACTAATTTTTTAAAATAAATATTTAATATTGTTATTTTCATTTTTAACCTTAGTATTTTGTTTTGCGTTTACTTTCAATTCTATAGAAGAGAAAAATGCAAGATATTAGGTGGGTTTTTTGTCACTAAAATTTTTTTCAAATATAAAAAATAGTTCACTTCGCTCCAGTTTAACCTATGATATGAAAGTATGATATGAACGTCATAAATTATATAAAAGTAATGTAATAAAGATTAAAAAATCAAAAATCAGAAGTAATAAAAAAATAAGCATAATAAAGACAACCTTTATACATTCTAAAGAGAATTCCAAAGCACGAATGCTTTAAGAAAAAAACTAAAAATAAAAAAGAAGATATAAACTAGAATTAACATTTTTTTAAAATGAACAAACACTTGCAATAAAAGAATGTAACTTTACTGAATGAAAAATCATGTAAGATTGAGGTTTGGTTGATGAAACAGTTGATGATAGCTTGCTTGAGCAGTATTTGTTAAATTCAGTATTTTGTAATAAATATGCATTTTTAATGCATATTTATTACAAGCGGTCACTTCATAAAAGAGAAGTTCTGAGTTCAATTTCCCCTATACCCTGGTAATACTGCACTAAACCTCTCAGCGCAGCAGGCTTGTTTGACAAATTTCGTGTTTCGAAGTTAAGGAGTAAAGAGAGGGTTGTAACCACACTAAAGATCAAAAAGATCAAGTGTCTGTTCTAAGCAACCAATAGTTGATAAATATATATCAAGATTGAAGCATATGGTTCCATAATCAAAATAGAGCCATCTTATAAGTAGTAAGATCGTTAATATGAATGAGAAACAACAAGTGACTAAGAATAAAACCTAGTGGCACCCAAGAGAGTACTTATTATTAGTTTATTAAAGTTGATTTTATTGTTGCAATTAGAAAGGAACAATAACTTTTATAAGAACTTGTGGATAACCCATCACAGTTTCCATCTAATTCCAAATAATAAAAAATTGTTTAATATTTCTGGAGATTAAATTTTTAAATAATAAAACTTTAAAAAAAAAAACAATAAGCAAAAATTTCTTTAAATAAATTTAAACAAACTAAAATTTGAATAAAACAAACAAACAAACAAACAAAAACTTATAAAAATTTAAACATTATATTACTATCTCTTATTTACAAGTATAGTTGCATTACATAATTCAATTACTTGAATTTTAAATGTTAAAAAATAAAACCACATTAAAAAAAAAAAATCATTATCCAATCTCAAAACCTTCAGCCAAAAGACTGGCAAGTGATTCAGAAATGCCTTTTTCTTCAACACGAGACAGTCTTTGCTGTGATTCATTTCTGTGTAAAATTTGACGCCGATGATTAAGGAGCTCTTCAAACTCAAGATCAGAACTGTCCCTTTCTAAAAAAAAAAGATTTCATACTTAAGATTGCCAACACACAAACACAGTTTCAATGTTCAATTAAAGATTTTTTTTTTTAAATAAATTCAATAAAATGTACCTGTTACTTCAGGACTACTTCCAGTAGAGTTACTTGAAATAGCAGATTGTAAATGTTTATTTTTTTCATTATACTCATGTATTTCAGAGCCAACATAGAGTCCTTTTGAACCAAGAAATGGACTAATTACTTTAGCTGCTAATGACTCTAACTTAAAATAATTCTCAGAGTAATCTTTAACTACCTAAGCAAAATGGACACAATTATAAAAATCTATGAATTTAAAATATTATTAACAATTATATAGAAATAAACATTATATAACAAAATTATTAAAAATCTTAAAAAATCAAACTAAAACATCTTGAAATGAAAAACAACAAGAACAATTATATAAGCAACACACTAAAATAGTGAAAATGTATTTCATGAAACTATCTATATTTTAATAATTTATAACGTCTAATATATATGCATATATATATATATATATATATATATATATATATATATATATATATATATATATATATATATATATATATATATATATATATATATATATATATATATATATGCATATATATATATATATGTATGCATATATATATATATATATATATATATATATATATATGCATATATATATATATGTATGCATATATATATATATATATATATATATATATATATATATATATATATATATATATATATATATATATATATATATATATATATATATATATATATATTATATATATATATATATATATATATATATATATATATATATATATGAAGAGTTTATTTTCAAAACACGAATGTGCAATTTTGTTTTTATGTGCCAACTTAAATAAATAACTAAGTAATTCTCAAAACTAAAAATAGATAATAGTAACAAATAGTTATACATACAAGCAACTTTGAAAATTTATTAATTATAAATAAACATATAAATAATAATTAATTCCACTTTCATACGCAAAACTTTTTATTAATTAAACATTACACAGATCAGCACATAAAAACAAAATTGCACATACCGCGTTTTGAAAATAAACTCTTCATATATATATATATATATATATATATATATATATATATATATATATAATATATATATATATATATATATATATATATATATATATATATATATATATATATATATATATATATATATATATATATATATATATATATATATATTCTTTTCTCTTATATATTAGAACAAACTTAAGATTATTGTATCTAAAAGCAAACTACCAAAAAAACTATCCAAAGCCATTTTAATTAGTTGCAAATAACAACGTATAGCATAGGAGAGATTAGTAGTAGGAGATTCTATGCTGATACCAATTAAATAACTGAACATTAAAATAATATTAATATTAAATTTTAGTAGAGATCAGAATCATTATGATCACAATCATTATGCTACTGGTAATATGTAACCCAGTACAACCTGTACCTGTTCTGCTGCCATGTAGAACTCGCTTGTCTAGGCAAAGATTATAAAAGCTAACTTTGACTTAAATCATCCGTTTGCTATGGGGGTCTTAGTTAAGTAAAGACGGTTTCTTGTAAAAACACTTATCTTGGACAGATGCTAACCCTCATCTAACTAATTTCTTTTAGAAGTCCTCCTGGGCAAGGTTTTAGAAGTGAAAATTTTTCGCTGACTAACCCTTGCAATCTTTATTTATCTAATAGGCTGGTAGATGTAAAACTGATGTAGATGAAAATCTTTTTCCTATCTAGGATGATGAAGACTGGATCTTCTTGACTCTTTTTGTTGTCTGGTAGTCTGTTATTTCCTAATGAGGATACAGCTTTAAAACTCATTTTCATGGTTTTATTCTGTGGTAGCTCTCAGAGAGGCTGATTCCATTAACAGATGAAAAACATCAGATTATTAAAAGAGCTGTGTTGCACACAGATGGTTTTCCTGTAAGTGCATTGTTGAAGTGGCATTAGAAGCTATTTGTTCAATTTGAGTTGATTAGCAGGACTAAAGCAATAAAATAAGGACTAAATAAAATAAGAAAGTAAAAATTGTAGAGTAAAAGTAGAATTAACCTTAGTAATGTTTTTAGTTAATTTAAAATATAATTATTTTCATATATACAGGATAAAAAAAGCACTTAAAAAATTGACAAATTGAATTAAAAAAAAAATGCTGGCGCCAATCATGAAAAAGATAGTCAATGACAAATATATAAGTGTGTTCTACAATAACATATAAGAGTTCAGAAAAAATATATTTTTAAAAAACAAGACAGTTAATACTTGACACTTGATAGTTTAAAGGGACTATTTAATGTAAAGTAATTATAGAATTTTTCTCTAGTTCAGCTCAAACCAATAGTTCATTTAGGATGTTATCAGAGATTCATTTATATTTTATATATAAATGAATCTCTCTCTCTATCTATCTATCTATATCTATATATCTATATATATCTATATATCTATATATATATATCTATATATATATATATATACATCTCATATAATATATATATATATATATATATATATATATATATATATATATATATATATATATAAATATATATATATATACATCTCATATAATATATATATATATCATATAATATATATATATATATATATATATATATATATATATATATATATATATATATATATATATATATATATATATATATATATATATATATATATATATATATATACGATTTGCAGCCATGTTTAATTTTGCTTTGACTGAAAATTTCAGTATCCTACATTATTTTTACATAAATATTGATTAGTGGCATATTGCAATATTTCAGTTAATTCATCATCAGTTCATTTGTGGCTATTTCCCAAAATGAGCATACATTCTTAGACTATCTTTTTTTTTTACGTTTATGGGAAAAGATTGTAGTCAGTGTGCTGAAACATTCAACTGCGCTATTGAATGATGACAAACACAAGCACAAAACAGCTAATAACAAGATAATTGCAAATTTTAATTTTTAGTAGTGCATTCCACTCTTCAAAAATATTATCTGTAAGTTAGCTTCTACAAATGGTTTCCAAAAATGTTGCATAAGATATTGTATACTTTAGAAACCATTATCTTGGTCATTTGTCTAATACTGAGAATAAAGCCCTGGCAATGAGGTGAATACTTCGTATATCCTTAAAAGACAAGAATCAATTTTGAATCAAAGTTATCAAAACTTTATGTAATTTTCTGTTAGGTGAATCATACAGTCAAACTTAATGTCAAGGTATTGTTTGTTTTTGCTTTTCTTTAAGTGTCCTGCCATTTGGTAACTTTATTCAAGTGTAACTATGTTATCTTGTTCTTTTATAACAAATTTTTTGTGGAGCTAAATATGCTTTATCAGCTATCTCTAATGTTACTGCAGTCAAATGACTTATTGTCTGAACAATGTTGGGAACTTTATATGCCAACAAAATATTTCTTTCAAAAAAATTGACAATGAGCCCATTGCATCAAGCAAATCAAGGTACGCACTAATTTTGCATTAAAAAGCATAACTTGTCAAATTTTTTAGCACTGCTCAGATTTTAGCCCATGTTTCATTTTGATAACTTTGTTCGCAAGACCATTTGGTAGTATAACTAAATATGATGGCTTGGTAAACCTATTTGACAATGCGCTGCAAATAAGGTTCTATTAATTTTAGTAAGTGTATAATATTGGACCAATAGGGTGGAAGCAGCTTCTCTACTGGACTCATTTAGCTTTTCTGAGTTACTCAAAAGACAAAATAAAATTGTGTAAAAGTTATTACATTGAGTTAACTCTTTAAATAGCATCTTTATAGCAAGTTCCAGCCAGTGATTAACACAGGGTATATAAACCAACCAAGGGCATGTTTGTTTCAATTGAGATAAAGCCCCGCTATAAATGCCTATGTTGACAATTACTCCATCAGCTGTAGCAAAAGCCATTATCACGTGGTAATTGATAATTGATAGAGGGATTTTACATTACGTTATATTATTTTTGATAAGTACACTGCAGGCTTGGCCAGCAAGGCATCCAATTTCACATCATAATATGACCACGCACATACTTTGTGATTTTGAAAACGTGACCACAGCTGTTAATGTTTTGAAAGCTTGTATACATCTTAAAAATGCGTTTAAAAAATTATGTCAAACAAATCTTTGTAAAAAAAATAACGAAAAAATAAAATAAAAATAATTTAACTAAAACCAAATTTAAAAAACTAAAACTAAAAATTAACTAAAGTAAATAATAAACTATAAAGATAAGATGATCTAAATTACATTTGGAATAAATAACTTTCAACCGTTTACTAATGTTTTTATAATATAATATTATACAAAAAGCTTTTTAAATTAAGTAAAAACTAACATC